AGGGGGACTAAAGGATGCTTGATGGCTTGGTCATGCACACCCCCACATCTGAAGCATCCCTACTCTGGACCCTGCTCTTAGGAACAAGAACATACGAACAGTGGGAAATATTGGGGGACAGAAGGTGGAATTCCCTCCGGATGGGGGTCTCTGACTCCTGGTTCGGCAGCAGTACTCCTTTCATGGCAGCCTGCAGCGGTGGGGAGGAGTGGCAGCCGCTCATTTTTGAGACCCAACCTCAAGGCAAAGAGCTGGTCAGGTCCCATCATGGATTCAGCCACAGCCCAGCAGCCTTTAAAGCAGAAGCAGGCTGGATAACCCTGCTTGTTGGGAGTCTCCTTTACAGACCGGGCCCTGGGAAGCCTCTCCTCCGGCAGGCCAGGGCTAGTGGGGGCCTGTGGGGAGTTTCAGGACAGGCTTGAGAGTTTGATAATGCAGAGATGAGAGCGGGGAACAGGGATCTGAAGCTTCCCTCTCAACTCCCTCAGGCCACGCATCTCTAGTCTACCTAGTAACATTTTCTGACCAAGAAACACGGCCTGTCAACCAAGGTGCACAGAGGTCCATGTTGAAATACAGTATACATTCTACATACTGAATGCAACAATGTGTCTGATAAGTCAGGCACTCGGTTATTATATTTATGATTATCTTCACGGATTATTGAGGAGCAAGGAAATGTGGCTTACTGTTCAAGAAGAACAAGGGCTCACAGTGTAATGCTGTTACTCAGAAGCATGTACCCTTATGTTGATGCCACTTTAAGTTTTATATGAATTAAAGTTGAGATTTCTTCTATGACCTGTGCAGTGATTTCTGTGTAAGAGATCAAGACATATCTGTGAAGGCCAGGAACGTATCTTCAAAGCTGAGGGCCAGGAAAGGAAAATATACAAATGAGGTTATGGCTGCACTAGCCTCACAGGAGTGTTCCATGATAACCTTTTTCTTTTTTTAAGAGATTTATTTTTAAAATTCATCTTTTTTTTTTTTTTCAAGACAGGGTTTCTCTTTGTGTATCCCTGGCTATCCTGGGACTCTCTGTAGACCAGGTTGGCCTCAAGCTCATAAAGATCTGCCTGAATGCTGGGACTAAAGGCATGTGCTATCACTGCTTGACTTTGTGATAATATTTTAAGACTCACTTGCACAACATACTTTTGGACAATACTTACTCACTTGCACAATACTTTTTTGGAAACGGGACCTCACTACATATCCCTGGTTGGTCTGGAACTCATGTAGATGAGGGTAGCACTGAATTCATAGTGATCTGTCTGGATCTGCTTCTCTAGTGCTGGGATTAAAGGCTTGTATCACCATATTCAGTTTTATTTTAAAATTTGTTTTTGGACAATTGCATACAAGTATACAATATATCTTGAATCTATCCACTCCACCCATTCCCTCTTCCTCCTTCTGTACTCCCACAACACTTCCTTTTCCCATCTCCATGCCAGCACTTCCTCCTCCTCCTTCATCTAGAGTCTTGTCTGCAAGTACATGGGTTTAGGACTGTGACCAATCTATCAGTGGCCACAACCCCAAAGAAATGATCCTTTCCCCCAATACCCATAAATTGCCAATAATGAGTTCCTCGGCCATCCATGCTGGAGGGTTACCTGGCTTGGTCTTCTCGTTTATTTTTTTCGTTTTTTGATTGTTTGTTTTGTTTTTCGAGACAGGGTTTCTCTGTGTAGCCTTGGCTGTCCTGGACTCACTTGTAGACCAGGCTGGTCTCAAATTCAGAGATCCACCTGCCTCTGCCTCCCAGAGTGCTGGGATTACAGGCGTGTGCCACTGCACCAGGCTCTGGTTTGGTCTTATTACGTAGGTACAGGTAACCACATCTGCTGTGAAATCATGAGGCCAACAGCCATGTCATGCCCAGAAGACAGCATTTCACAATGCCCCCCCCCCCATCTCCCCGAACTTTTGCTTGTATGTTTCTGGCCCTTCTTCTGAGATGTTCCTCAAGCCTTGTCGGGGGAGGGAGTGATAAAGATGCCCCACTTAGGGCTGACCACTCAGTAGCCCAGTTGTTTTGTGCTGTATTGGACACTGCTAATGGCTTTGCTATAGAATCCCTTTTGCTGCTCAATCTCAAGCTCATTAGCTTGGAATGGACAGTAGCAGGTACTCAGATTCTGTCCATCTTCTGTACAGGGGTTCTGTGCCATGTATGAAGCAGTATGTTAGCACTGAGTGTCTTAGAGATTTGGAGACGTATCTGGAAGAAGAGTAAAACAACAGTAAAGAGTCTACATGAAAGCACCTCAAATAGGTAAAAACAAAACAAACAAACAAACAAACAAAAAAATCCCAGAAGCTGTAAGACTCTTGAAAGAAAATCCCACACAGTCAAAGGCAGGTTATGTCCCTACAAGTTGCTAGCCAAGGAAACCCTTTAAGTTCCAGAAATCAGAAAGGCAAGGAGAATTATTGCCAAGGATCCCATTTCACTACCATGGAAGACAAGGTTTGTCTGCTGGTGCAATTGTGGCAAACTGGTATAGATGCAGACAATGCTTTCTGATTGAATTTAAGGCTTCACAGGAGGGAAACCATGTTCATTACTATAAACCTGGGCAAAAACTTGTGGCTGGTGGTCATAGGCGCCAGTGGGGAGAATGCTGCTGGGTTTGTTTGTTTGTTTGTTTTTAATGAACAGGCATGCCTGTGAAACTGCCTCCTAAATACTTGTATTTCTTACCCACAGATTACTGCTGCTGTTGGCCTCAGGTGTGGAAGAAAATTTCTGTCTATGGTAGTTACTGAGGAGACTCAAAACCAGTCAAATAACTGAATAAATGCCTATTCCTATGGCATATCAGTCCAATGCCAGCCATAAATATAAGAAAATAATCATCACTTCTACGTAACCCCTTCCCAGGTTCAGGGAACATTATCCAAGAGCAGTAAATAAGAGCCACAGAAAGACGTGAGGTGTTATACAGCCCTTTCCTCCAGATGGAAACATTCCTTCCTGGAGGCAGAGGAGGACGTTTAGTGCAAGAATCAGGAAGCTCACCAAACTTTTAACTTAAGACTATCCACAAAGTCCTTTCCCCAAAGTTACAGAAGCAGTAAGCAACCGCTGCGGGAGACAGGTGGAGCTACCTCCAAGTCGTGCAAAGTCCAGAGATATCTTTTGAGTCGTCACCCCTATAGTTGCAGTTACCTGAGTCACACTTAGCCCTGTAAGTACCTCCCCCTCCCCCCCGCCCCCCAATTCACTGGTTCACCAAACAAGATATAGGTAGAACTGGAATTTTTGTCTGTCGTGAGTACGCTTTGTTCTGAAGAAGCCCACACAGCTCTCTAGCCGCGAGCCACAATCCCTACGAGCTAGCAGCGGAAACGGAAGCGACCAGTTTCCCTACCCTGACAAGGACTTTCCTCAGATTTAATTTGAGATCGGAGGCGGGAACCGGGTAAGAGGCTCCGGGTTAGGATAGTGCGGGGGTGGAGCCTCAGCGGGCAATGGGAGCGGGGCTGCGCAGACGCCACGGGCCGAGGGCGGAGCTTCGGCGGCTGAAGGGCGGGGCCGCGCAGGCGCTATGAGGCTGAGCTGAATGTAGTTGGCCACGCAGGCGCTGTGGGGCTTTCGGCGGGCAGGTGGTGAGTGCGCGTGGCTGAGTGTGGCGGGGACCCGCGTGGAGAGCGAGACCGTTCTCCGTCCACGCCGGGCTTCGCTGGGTCTGGCCACGGCGCTTCTGGAAGCCGAGGCGGGAGGCGTTAGACACTCCGCTCAGGGCGCGGAGAGGGCTGCGCGCGGGTGACTGGTGGGTGACCCGTGCCATTAGCGTCTGTGGTCGCCAGGCGGAGCCCTGCCGACCCGGGTAGACTGAGCAGGAGGCGGAGGCTCTCGCGGAGCCGCGCTATCCCGGGAATGTCTCCTGACTGTCACCTGCTGCCAGGGCAGCGTGCCCAGCAGCCTCGGCACTTGCCTGCGACGTGCGAGTTAAGATACCAAGCAGAGCTAGCTAGGCTCGCGTATACCCAAAATAGGATTTTCAGTTTTAGACGTCATTCAGAACCCCGGCCAGTTTCCAAGGCTTACATGTGTTTCTTCTGGCTCCAAAGCCCTTTCTGCAAGACGGGAAGGGTTAGAGGAGAGCACAGCTGGAGCCTAGGACTGCTGATGGGATGTGTGGGAACTTTGAAAGGCGAGTAGGAATTCCAGCACAGCGCTGTAAAATATGAATCGTGTTTCTTGAACTCACCAGACAGCTGTGGTTACGGGTGGACCACTTAGCCAGCAATCTACGAAGAGGCAGGGCCTCCAAGACCATAGATACTCATGAGAATAGGAGGAGTGCCATCCAAACATAATGCAGCCACATCAAGTGGACCAGGGTATGAGTCTCGGGGAGCCACAGAAACAAGAGACTTTTCCACCCGCCCTGGGCTTTTTACCAGCCTTCACTGGTGGGAAAGACTAAGGGCAGAGCAGAAGTCTAAAAGCTTTCCTGTAAACTCATCTGGGGAAGGCTGAGGTAGCTGTACCAGTTAATCTGCCTGGGTCTTCCAAGGAAAGAAAAGTGTCAGACTACTTTTGGGTAGGACAGGAAAGTATGCTCTAGGGCAAGTGAAGGGAAGGGCAGGAGGTACATGAATCCGTCCTTAAATATTATCTGAGAGGCCAATACATCTCCCAGCTAAGCACAAGTAATGCTAGAGAAACTTGAAGCCAGTGTAGCAGAAGAACCAGGAGAGCCAAAACCACCTTAGTTACTGGATTTAGATGGGGATTTCATCAGGTAAAGAATTGATAGAAAAAAAGAAAGAGAAAGAAAGAAAGAAAGAAAGAAAGAAAGAAAGAAAGAAAACAGCAGAAAGAAAGAATGCCTTCAAGGGGCCCATCAGTTGACGTGAAGGAAGTCACTGAACTGAAGATAGTCTATAGAAGCTATCCATATTGGGGCTGGTGAGATGGCTCGATAGGTAGAATGCCTGCAGACAAGTCTGACCTGAGTTTGATCACCAGATCCCAGGTGGTGAAAGGACAAAACTGACTCCGCGTTGGTACTGTGGCACAGGCATGCCTGCACAAAATCAGTCAATAAACAATTAAAAATTAGGGCTGTCGAGATGGCTCAGGGGTAAAAAACATTTGCTGCCAAGGCTAATGACTCAAGATTTCATCCGCAGGACCCATACTGTAGTAGGAGAGATTTTCTGCAAGTTGTCCTCTGACTGCTTCATGAATTCCTTCGATGGCACTACCTTCTCCCCAGATAAATAAATGTACACAAAAAAGAAATTATCCAGTTTAGGTATGTGGGGATGGAAGTCGTCTCTCTCATTTCACTGTTTCATAGCCCAGGCTAGGCACAGTCAACCTTGTGCATTGACAATTCTGTGTAACTTGCTCTGAGCTTGAGGTTCTAAGCGCAAGGTCCAGGATGCTTACACTTTGTGGGTGGGCTATGAACGGCAGGCAGAGGGAATTTAAAGTGTGGTGCTTCTTTGGTTCCAATGGTGATACCCCTATCTCTTGGTGTTGCAGATGGCATCTGAGGCAGAGCCCCGTCCCCTGGGCATGTTTGAGTGCCAGCTCTGTGCCTTGACAGCTCCTTATACCTATGTTGGGCAGAAGCCCCCAGACACCCAGGCTGTTGTGTGAGTATGCATTCTGGGCCAGTGCTTAGGAGGCTCTGTCCAGTATTACTTGGCAGATACTATGTGGAGTGTGACGCCTGGTTTGAGTGTTGTACTTTAGACCAGTCCTTGCCCTTGTTCCGGATGCCCCAGGCATAACCCGAGGAGGCTGCAGGCAAGGCTGGAATTCTTTTTGACTCTTCCAGGACTCTTTGCACTCCTTGTGGCACCCTCTTCCCTCCTCTCTGCCTCTACGCCACTGTATAGATAGACTAGTTCCTGCCTGCTGAGGCTCCTCCTGCAGTTGAGAGTTAGCCACTTGTTCTGTCTGTGAGGTGGAAGCCTTGTGGCCCCGGGCCAAACAGCAATGGCTGAGCATGATGGCTTTCTCACGTGGGGCTGTGCCCTCTGCTGTCCCTGCTGGTGATGCTGGGTGGGTACCAAGTGGTTCTCAAGGATCAGCTCTCTGAGGGTCTGCTTCATGCAGGTTGGGAGCAGAGATGTTTCTGCTTGCTGACTGGATTGTGGCTCATCCTTCATGCAAGATTTCGTGAGAAAGCTGGCTAGTACTGGACTCATGTGACAAAACAGCTGGAGACCAGGCTCAATTCCAGTTGCTCTCATTCTGATAGATGTGGGACAGAGAAGAGTGTGCCCCATGCTGACCTCATGAGCCTACCCAGTGAATCATGCTTGCTCTGAGAGGCTTCCACTGCACCTCACAGAGCTGAGGCTGGGTCACATTTCAGTTCCCATCTGTCCTCCAGGCACGAGCCTTTCTGCCACCACCCCACTGTATAGGTAGACTAATTCCTGCCTGCTGTGCAGCCCCACCGTGCTCACCATGTCCCTTCTCCCTGCAGCCTCCTGGAGGAGAGCTACATCATGAAGGACCCCTTCTCCTCCGACAAGGCCAAGTTTCTGGTCCTCGGCTCTCGGTGCAGTGTGTGCAGCAGGCTGGTGTGTGTGGGCCCGGTGGGTACACCCGGGGGCCTCCCAGTTTTTGCCCTGAAGATCTGGGAACCTCCTGATCAGGTGGAGAGAGGATAGGGGTTCTTAGCCCATCCTTTGGAACACAAGGGAAGGGGCCAGTGAGGACAGTTAGAGAGTCTCAGCCTGGGGTGAGTAGAGAGACTCCAAGCGTTAGGCCTTGGAGTAGTCCTGAGATCTGAGAACCCCTCAGCATCTCCTGCAGATACAGTGCACACAAGGGGCCCTTGCCACAGGTCACGCACAGCAACGGTTCCCTCTCTTTGCTGACTGGCTGATGTATGGGATGGTGGCAGGAGCCCCAGTTCCACCAGTTGGAGGGAAGACTGTGGCAGGAGTGTTTGAAGTCAACAGGCTGGAGAAAGGTGGGCTGGGGCCAGCCTCTGAGGAGCCTCAAGCACTGCTCCTTGGATTTGGGCTGTACTTGGCAAGCAGAAGTAGGGATTGCAACAAGAATATCAGGCATCTTCCCCTTTCTTGGATTAAATAATACGTTAGTGAGGAGATCTCCATTGCAAGGGATTGCACCTCAGAACTTCAGGCAGGATGGCCACCCTGCCAGCCCCTGGTGCTCCTTCCTTTTGTTGCTCAGGTTGCTGCTCCTCCCGGTGCCTTATGGGGGTGGGGGTTGCCTGGGAGAGGCCTGCTGAGTCCCTTCCTGTTTTGACCCTCTTCTCTCTCACAGGACTGCAGCCTATTCTATGCCAAGAGGGTCTGCCTCCCCTGTGTTCAGGAGAATATCAGTGCTTTCCCTCAGGAAATCCGTGAGGATGTGGAGAAGAGAAAAGGTGCCTCTAAGAGGCCCTCCAGCCATCCTTGAATGGCAGGGGCACAACCTCCTGTGCGGCATTGGGCTGGGCTCAGCCAGGATTCCAGCTGAGAGCTGGAGCTGAGGAATGGCCAAGACTGAGGACAGACAGCAGGAGTGGATCCAGCTGGAGCTCCAGGCCTGGCCTCTAGTGGAGACCGGGAGTGAGGAAGAGGGAGCCTCCTTCAGTGGAACAACTGGTAGACACTTCCTGTAGCTGTTCATGTGGGAAGACAGCTGGCTTCTCTCCAGGACTTCAAGTGACGTGAAGTCAGCCTCTGAGGGCTAGTGGCAGGGCCAGAGGGCATGCAAGGGTTACGTCACATCTTGTATAATGCCTGGGAAATGATTTAAACTCGACTCTGTCTCGTATTTCTAATTAAAAACCTGAAGGATAAGTAACCTGGTTTGAGTAACCTTTTCACTGATCCACTTGGACAATTCAGTACACCCCATTTTGGGGCCAGTCTGTGGGACCTGGTCTCTGCAAACCCGCCACGTCCTAGCATCATTCAAAATGAACCAACTAAATTTTAAAAATAGTTTAATTTTTTTTTAAAACCATTAAGGCAAAACTGTACCCTGAAATTAACTCTTTTACATTCATCAGTCTTATAGTAGGACATTCCAAACATACAGGTTCCCATAAATTCAGGATATAAATCAATACATATCAATACGTACAGTCAGTTCAATCTGCTATGGAGAAGACAAAGAAGACTTTTCTTTTTTTAAATTAATGTTAAGTTATAGCCATTTTCTAATTGCCTGGAACCAATCAGATCATAGGACTAAAAATTTCTATTTGCCCTTCTGTGTTCCCCCTGGATTCCTGATGTCTTGGGTATCCCTGTATCCACAACGAGCTGGGAAGTGTGAGAGGATGCTTGTACCTGCTCAACACTTCCTATTCAGGACTGCCCTTATCACAGAGGTCTGCAAGAATGGCACCGAGGACAATAGTGAACAGGTGGCAGGAAGCGGGCCTTAGGCCTTGCTTTGGAAATGTGTATGTCCTCGTGTGTGTCTGTGAGACCCTCTCCCCACAGGATCTGATATAATGGCATTGTGGATCTTGGAGGGTGTTACAAAGACACACCAAGGAGAAATGTGGCCAGGACATTGGAAATGACATAGAGACTCAGTGGAACAGCTCAGATTGCCTCAGTTCTTTGGTAATAATTCATAAGTAATAATTCCCTGAACAATGGGCAGCAAGTTGACCCCACAGGCCTAGTCGGTGGCCTCGATGGGAATACTGATGTCAGGTTGGTGACTTCTAGCCGGGGTTCAGGAAGGCCTAGTTGGCAGAGATAGATACCGATTGGCTTGTACTTGTTTAAAGGAAAAAAAAAAAGAATGTCTGGCAGAGCAGATTCACAAATTGGGAAGAGATGGTGCCTGGCTCAGGGGCACTGAGGGGTGAGCACGCGTGGGCAGCTGTGTTGCAGTTCTTTACTTGGGCTTCCTGTATGTCCAGCAGGTTTGAGAGCCAGGCTTTGAACAGACACTGCACTGAACCCTGACCTAGAAGATTCCAGGTGTTGGCGATTAGACACATGACCACAAGCTAGTCAACTACGTGTATCAGTGTTTAAAAAGAAAAACACAGAAATCACAGTCCTTTAGATATAGCTATGAAGATAATTCCTTTTCATTCAGTGCAGAAAACATGATGACACTTAACACGGACAATACTGGACATCATCCGAGAATAAATGCCAAGTGTCATTCATCTGTTGTGAGGTACACTTAGTTTCAGTCCTGACAAGAGCTGGCTGTGCCTTTTTTTTTTTTAAGTAAAATTTCCCAAAGTGACAATTTGACCAAGAAAGGGTCAACTACTCCCTAGTCTTTAGGGCCTGAATCTAGGCTCTATGTGACTTAAAAGCATAGCTGAGTGTCAGGGGCCTGGGAAAAATGCCTAAGTAGCTGCTGACAGCCAGGGAGCCCAGAGGCCCACCTGCCTCTGCTCTGGCCTCACCACTGCCAGGGTGACCTGTGCCCAGGGTTAGAGCATCTGTTTCACCAAATAAATGAATTTGAAGCTGGGTTTGGTTTGGGGGAAGAGGTGAGAGAAGAAGAGGCCATTATTTCCTTCTCTCTTCAGAGAACTGCAGGGTTTTCATATTTGACCCCCAACTGGGAAACTTAAATAAAAAGAGAGCAAAACAGCTTTATCTATGACATAAAACTTGATGTTTCTCCTTTTCTTGCCAACAATGGCACCTGACCACCACTAAGGTGTCAGGTGCTTTGTCAAGACATGATAGTGACCATGGGTGCAGTTTGGTCCATTTCTGGTTGGCACAGCATTCTCCAAAAGGTGCACCCCACTATGCAACCACTCTCCCTGACTAAAGTTCTGTTGCAGGAGAAAAGCAACGGACTCCATTTCTCTTATCTCAGACTAAGAAGTAGATGGGGCTGAGGTTTGATGCTGAGAAAATGTCCACAGGCTGGCGACTGGCCAGGCGGCGGCAGCCTCTCACACTCTGTCCTGATAAGGGGCCACAAACCTCTTTTTTGATAAACCAACAGGCCGATACACTGAAGCAAAACGAGAGATGCCAACACATTCCTCAGAGGAGGCTGAGTGAGGAACAAGATCCACTATTTAAACTGAAACCTGTTGGTGGAGGTTTTGTGTGTGCTGTGTTTTTAGGTAAAGACAAGAGCTGTCTCTGCTCTGAGTCAGGCTATTGCTCTAATATTCTTACCCTACTCTGGTCATGGTGTCAGCCATACTGATGTGCAGTGGGTACACTGTGGTGCCTGGTGGTTCATCGGGAAACCAAGCTGGCCCTCACCCCTCAGGCTGGTGGTGTTTACCCGAAGATGGGTTTAGGTTCCTGTTCTCACCCTTCCAGAGGATGTGGAAGGAGACCGGGACCCGCTTTGTATGCCGGATGAGCAGTTGTAGGCAGCTGCTGCGTTTTCCTAGTGTAACCCCATCTTGAAAGGCCACTCAAGTTAAAGACAGATAGAGTGAAGGTGGTGAGCTTTCTGGCTGTAGGAGGCCCTGGGACCAAAGGCTAATCAATCTCAGGGGACATGAGAAGAGCTTTAAACTGGAGTTCAGCAAGACATTTTTAAACCATGTGGCCAATGATGCAAGACAAAAATCCCCTTCCTCCATCCATCTGGCTACTTGAGAGTCCAATATGCCTTATGTCACGGTGTGCTGGATAAGGGCTCAAGGTAAAACACATTTGGAATCAGAAAGATGCGAGCTGGGTGTAGAGGAGCCCAAGGGCCATATTTTGTTTTGTTTTTCTGAAGGTCTGTTTCAAGGAACCTCCCCTGGGGGTTCCAGCAGAAAGGGGTGTTGTGCAGGGAGGGTCTGTGGAGTGGCCCCTGCAGACAGGATGAGCGACCTCAGTTCAGTAGATGACAGTAACCTTTGCATATGTGCGTCCCCTTTAACAGCAAATGTTTCTTCACTAGGTCACACAGCCTCTTGCAGATATCAGGAGGTGGGAAAGAGGGACATCGAGGCTGCTTGGTCCCCATCAGTCTCCAAGGAGTCTGGCACCAGGAGTTTGCTATCAGTGCTGGTTTCATACCCCTGCTCTAGAGCTCCAGGAACCAAGGTGGCACCCCTTATTGGGCTGTTGGCCGATACCACTGACACCTTGCAGACTATAGCTGCCCACCTCCTCAGTTCCTAAATGTGCCACAGTATTCAACCTGGCATGTCTTGGGTTACTGACCCCTTGAGAAATCTAACTAGGTGACCTCAAAGATCCTAGCACCATGTGGCCACATTGTGAATATCCTACCCAGTAATGAGAGTGCAGAAAGTCAGTGACTTTCAAGCCAAGGTCACTGTGGTCCCACCTGGCTTCTCTGGGGATAGCTTACTGGCAATCTCACGAGGCTGTGGAGAACGAAACCTTCGTGAACACTACTGAGCATCAGTTCAGATACAGACTGCCCCAGAACCTGTCAGTCATCTCTGTGGCCCATGCTGAAAGCATACAGCAAGGGGCTACTTTTCAAAACCCACTTTCCAAGGTCACTGGAGTGGCATTTGTCTAAAGTTCATCAGGAGCCTGCCCTCAGAGGGGACCAGTGCACAGAAGAGACTTGGCACTGGAATCCATCCTTTGACCCTCCAAAACCAGGACCAGCTCTAGCCCTGTAGGAAGGACCAAGGACTGGATATGCCATATTACGAAAAGGCTGGCTTCTTCCTGAATGAGCTCAACCTTCACTGGGATCATATATGGAAATGATTTGCTCTGCTTCTGATTGCGAAGAGCCTGGGCAGATTGCCTACAACGACTGTTGTCCAACAAAGCCTTTGACTGGCAGCAAGGAAGGAAGGACAGAAGGGAAAGTGGGAATGAGGAAGGAAAAAAGACAGGGGGAAGAGAAGGAAAGAGGGAAAGGGAGGGAAGAAGGAAGGAGGCCAGTAAGGGTGCAAATCTTGAAGCATACCTTGACCCTAATTCTCCCTTTTTCCTACTTGAAATGTCATGGCCTTATTTTTCTTTCTACTGTTTTTATAATGCTGACCTTGAACATTTTATCAGCATCAATCTTTTCTCCCCCTCCCCCCCCCAAAAAAAAAGGGCGGGGGGAGGTCTCACCCAGCACAGACTGGCATCAAGCTGACTTATGTATCTGAAAGTAACCTCTAACTTCTCTGAGGTTACCGGCATCTGCCTACCCTAAAGCAGCACCAGTGATCAAGCTCTCTATCCACTGAGCTATGCCCTCTACTCCTTGGCAGTATCCATCTCGACCATTATTTCATAAGAAATAGTGATGATGCCAGAAGAGCCAAATTTTCTAAAGATGGTGCAGGAGGAAGATACAACCTGATCTGAAATATGCAGCTATCCCCTTAGAGGGCAGGAGCTGGCAGGCCCATGAGGTCTGAGAAGTCTTTGTGCAACTGTTTCTCTTGAAGGTAGCCAGCACCGTTCGCCCAATGGGACTGAGAAAAAGGGACCTTACCATCTAGTTCTTTGAAAAACAAAAAAAAAAAAACAAAACAAAAACAACAACAACAGCAAACCAACCAAGGGCTGTGAGGTTGTTGGCTGGGTACAAATAGAAGATGAATGAAATCACACTCTTGTCTCTTGTTCCGCAGGATAACCAGCCCCCTTCAGCCTGGGTGGCGAAGTCAGCTTTTGCCTTCTCCACTCCAGGGAGCACCTCACCACCAAGACAGTTTTCAAAATGCAACAAAGTGTCATATTAAAGGAGCTGCCAAAGGGGCCTAGAGGAGCGTTTACAAATCTTTTGTGAATCTACCTCTGAAATCGCTGCCAAGCCCCCACGCTGTGGGTCTGATGTGAATAGAGCCACAGAACTAGCTGCTCGGGCTCATCCTGTCTTTGTGTATCAGACACTACCTCAAGCCTCCTGAGGCTTCTTGAGATGTAACTTTCTGGAATCTTCTACACAAATCTGAAAAAAAAATTTTTTTTTCCCCATGGGTCAGTTATATCCTCCAAAACAGTGGTCAGTAAAGAAAATGATGGGGCTGGGTTCTGATAGCTTATCAAACCATTCTTGAAATGTTCTCAGAAGTCAGCTCTCTCTCTCTTTAGAGCCATGAAACAGAAGGGGGGGGGTCTTTTCAATAAACTTTTTTTGCCATGTTTAACTGGCTAACCTTGGGCCGCACCTTGACTTATATAGGTTTGAAAGGTTAAAAAGTGCAGATTAGTTTTCGGGATTTACAAGAGTGCTCACAGCCAGAAGGACGGCAGGAAAAGAAGAGACTGCGAGGGCTTTGAGGTTACCTGTTAATTAATGGCAAATTATAAATGTGATGTAGAGAAATGTGCATTGACTATCATTGGGCCAGTTAAAATCAGACCGGGGACTGCCATTCTCTGTAATTGTCTGAATCCTATTTGTAGTCTCCATTCGAGGAAAGGCAGTCTTAGAAGTGCCCATTGAGAAAGGAAAGACGTGGGGAGAGCCTGCATTACTTAGGCCCAGCCCTCTTCACCTCCAAGGATAGGAGGGTGGTCATCCGTGCAAATCCTTGCTCTCCTGTTTGGGGCTGCAGACCTCAGAAGTCTTGAATGGTGGCAATGGCTGCCATCTCAGGAAAAATCAGTACATGTCTCTGTAGATCTCCTGCAGCAGCGGGTGCAGCGCTGCGTCCGACTCGGTCTTCTTGATGACCTGCACGAGCTGCGCATGCTCCGTGACCAGCTGGCGAAGGTCCACCATTTTTTGAAGAAGTTTCGGGAAGAGAAAGGTGTCATCCGGATGGTTGCTCTGGAGGTGGAGCTTGAGCACGTGCACGATCCCTTCCTGCAACTTCTCAATGTATCCTATGTTTAGAAGGCCAGGCCGATCTACGCTCAAAAGAAGAAAGAGACGTCTGAGAGCCACGGGTCAGTGGAGGAGCCAAGCGTTGCTGCTTCCTGTGGCCCCGCAGGGAAGGCGCTGAGTGACCTTTACATACATGGCAACCAGACCAGAGGTCAGATAGACTTTTCCACAGTCACTGCCCCTGATGAGGACAGACACGCCGGGCACTCCTAGCTCTTCAATGAGCCATCCCATAGTGCTACCCCAGACTCCCTTAAGGTGCAGCCCCTACTTTTGGATTTGTCTGACAATCCCCAAACCATGCCAAATCGTTATGTAGTATAGGAAACGGAAGGCTTCTTCCCGGGTGAAAGGCGTGTATTCAGCTTCCCATCAGCAGCTAAGAGTGTGACAAGATCAACAAGAATTTTTTGTTTGGCTTGGCTTTGGGTCCCCCACCCAACCCCCCAACAGACTTTGTCTGTGTAGCCCTGGCTGTCCTAGAACTCTGTAGACTAGGATGGCCTCAAACTCACAGAGATCTACCTGCCCCTGCCTCCTGGGTGCTGGGATTAAAGATGTGAACCACCACTGCCTGGCTAAATCTTCATTGTACATAGTAAAATAGATATAATAATTAAGGTTTTGTGTATGTCTTGGGGGGGGGTATACTATGTAGAGACCAGAAGCTAACCTTGGGTGATGTTCCTCTGGTGCTATCCACATTGTTTTTTGAGACAGGCTCTCTCACTGGCCTAGAACTCATTCCCCAAGTCTAGCTGTCCAGCCAGCCCCCACGGATCTGAGCATCTCTCTCTCCACAGCACTGGGGTTACAAGAGCATGGTCACACAGCCAGCTCTTTTTCTTTTCAGTGTGGGTTTTGGGTTTGAACTCAGGTCCTCATGCTTGTATGGCAAGCACTTTGCTGACAGAGCTGTCTTCCCAGCCCCATGACTAAGTTTCCCGATGGCGGAAGGCTCCACCCATGGGAGTATGTATGTAGCTCTGCACTGGCTTTCCACCCTCCCTGCCACTTCCAGTCACACAAAAAAGACCTGGCAAAGAGATTTGAGCCGTTTTTATGCTTTTCGGGGGCAGAACGATGCTTCCATCAGTGACCATGAAGGGCTGTGTGGCTTCCGGCAATTGGGAAGAATTGTCACCCGTAGGTCTATGCCAAGGCCAGGCAAGGTCAGCTGGGCTTACAGTAGGTGGATGACCTTCCTAGACTAGAGACAGGGCTATTTAAAGAAGTAGAATGCTGAACCAACTACCAGGGACCATAGAGCCAGCTTCCCCAGAGAGGCCTGGATCTTCCTTCATGGGGATTATTCCTTCTGGCAGAGAAGACCTTGACGCTGCTTCCAGAGAGCATGATAGTTCTCAGCATGAATTAACATCAGCATTAACAGCAACAGCACCTTGCCTGCACTTGCACTGTGCTTTCCAGACTATTAACTGCACAATAATTATAATATTAACAGTACAAATTATCACAGTATAATATGTGTATCTAGGATGCTTACATTTGATATAATTTTATGTTATCAGTGGAGCATGTATTTAAATTAATGCATATAATATGGCAGTATGTGTTAATGGATATATACTAAGAATGGAACTACAGTGTATAATAGGTATAATATTTTCACTCAGCTCTACTTGGCAATAACTTGGGCTCAGACACCATCCCACCCCGATGGTGCTCACTTCACTGTATCAGACCCAGGCTGGCACCATATTGACAGCCATTGAGTTCCTCCAGAGGAAAAGCCGGTGAGTGCCTTGACAGTGGCAGATCAACTTACCTCCACAGCAAATTATAGCAGCCACGAAAAGGGAAATGTCACTGTCATCCAGTTCTAGGGCATTGAACTTCATAGCAAAATCAAACTTGGGTTCCAGGATGTCACAGAATGGTTTCCTCAGGTTCTTTAGGAACTCCCGAGTGATGAAGCCATTGCCATACGCTATCAGCATCCCGTCTTTGTTCATCATGGAGGACAACATTGTGAAGATGGCTTCATACACACCGTACTTTAGCAAGGTAACTTGGTCGTTCAAGTCCAAGTTTGCAAAGCCCGGGATGGCCTTGGCAAATTCTGTGAGCTCGGTGACAGTCTCCACAGACATGCACTGGCAGCAGTGAAAGATCCGGACCTCTGCCTCCTTGTTTTGGATGCCATTGGCCACCATCTTGGCCACAAGTGTCTTCTCAGCCATACACAAGGTCTCCATGTCATGTATGACAAAAGGCTACAAAGGAAGGTGATGAAGTTAGTCAAGTGACTACTCTATGACAAGCTATGCAATCTTCTTAACCATCAATAAACTAAGAAGCAGCTACTGTGTCCAAACCCCCAAGCTTGGCGCTAGGACAATTCAAAGTACATGTGCAGTGCAGTCCTGTCCTTGGACAACTTCAAACTTGGATAACATAAGACTTTGCAGAAAGCTACAATATAAGTCAGAAAGATAATAGTTGTCAGGGCTGGAAAGATGACCCAGAGGCTAAGAGCACTTGCTGCTCTTGCAGAAGACATTGGTTCAGTTTCCAGCTCACAATTGTTTGTAACTCCAGTTCTAGAGAATCTAATGCCTTCTTCTGACCTGTGCAGACCACGGGAGAAGGTGGTACACAGGCAAAACACCCGTACACATAGAACGAAAATAAATGAAAATTTAGAAGATAGCATTTATTATGTCCTGGCCTTGGGTAAGGGTTTCAATACTAGGAAACAAAAGTTCTGGGCTGGAAAGATGGCTCAGTGGTTACAAGTGTGTACGATCTACTTTTCCAGAGGACCAGAGTTCAGTTCTTTGCATCCGTGTTGGGCAGTTCACAGCTACCTGTAACTCCAGCTCCAGGGGACTTAATGCTGTCTTCTAGCTTCTTGGGGCACTGCATTTATATGTATCCACACAGAGACATGCATAATTAAAGACATAAAACAAAAATCTAGAAAAAGAGACAAAAGTAACCCAAAGTGCTGGTTTTGGCAATGAAGTGAAGATGAGAATGTAGCAAAGCCCCTTTACGTTTTAATTACATTCGCCAGACTCCTAGATACTACTGGAATGGTATTAAGTAATTAATACCATTAAGTAATTCCTAATTTTATCATTTCATAAACTTTGAAGGTAACTATCATTACTTTGCATTGACTTTTGGATAAGCCTGCCATATGAATATATGATCATCATTATCGGACAAACAGGCAGGCCTTGTTCAACTCTGTAGAGTGAGACTTGGACCACCTTCCAGTGTGCCTTTCAGTGTAGAAAACATAAGCCTTGTCAGTGGCCTGTCCAGGAACAAGGGTCAAATCCAAACCCGGGTCTCTGTATGTTGTAGCACTATGACCTCCACCCGCAGGTCTGCCTCTATATAAAGTTTAGTGAGCAGTCCAGCTTTGTCATCACTGTGCATGTGTGTGATGGTTCATCTGGACTCTCAAACCGGTGAGATTCAGAAGCACTTACAAGATAAACTGTAAGGATATTCCTGGAGAGGTCTAACTGGGGTGGGGGACCCACCCCGAATGTGGGTGACACCATTCTCAAGGCTGGAGTGCCAGACTGAATTTAAAGGAAAGCCAGCACCATCTCTGCTTCCTGACTGTGGCCATAATGTGGCCAGCTGCCTCATGCTCTTGCCATCATGCCTCCCCTGTCAGGATGGACCAGACCCTCGAACTGTGAGATAAAATAAACCCAGCATTAATTCATGTTTGTCAGGTGTTCCATCCCAACACAGGGACAGACAACAAATAAAGCGACTAAAGGAAATTAGCTATGACACACCACATCCTTATAGGTACTGCTATACCATTCTCAAGAGACATGCGTGGAATCAGTCAGGATGTCCATTGACAGATGAATGAATATGCCCAAGAGAATATTCTTTAGTCATTAAAAAAAAAAAAGACATTCTCGTATTTGTGACCAGATGGACAGAACTGAAGGAAACAAATACTGTGTATTGCCACTCATGTGGGTGCTAAAAACATTAGCCTCAGGAACAGAGAGTAGGGAAGAGAGAAGGGAGAAGGATCCGATAATGCCATTGACCCCAGAGATCTTTATGTGTTTCATATGAAGTTTAAACTTTCTGGACACATGATGATAAAAATGTTTAAGCAGGTTGACAGTGAGCTCTGATTTTGTCAGTACACATTTTTGTACTTGCATCTAATTTTCAACCTGTATCCCACAAGTGTGTACAATTAAAAAATAAGTAAACTGCTTAAAAGAATCATCTGTTGCTAGAACACATGGTTTTGCAGTCTCTGTGCTCAGAGGGATTAAATGTCCGGAGTGCTGAGAAGAGCCAGTATTTGCCCTACCACTGACCAGGATTCATGTTTGCTAAGTATCAAGGGCTCTGAATTTTGTGACCCTCTATACCACAAACACACACCCACACACCCACACACGTAATGTCTATGCTGAGTGAGTACAGTCACTAATGAGGTAGCCAGGTATTGTTTTATCTAAGCACAGAAATGAAGCATCCCAGCCTAACTCGCCCTCCCCATGCTGGGTTGTCAAGAGCATCTTCAGGAACCACAGAATAGATGCACAGTCCAGGCATCTGGCATGTGCCTGGTACAGAGGCAGGAGGGCGTGTGGAGGAGAAGCAATTTTCTGTGAGGTGTTTAAGTTGAGCCTGAACATGTAATATAGCCCTGGATTGAAAAAAAAAATCTGATTCTATGAGAGGATTACTAAAAATGGCTCATTGTGGGGCTGGAGAGATGGCTCAGTGGTTAAGCACTGACTGTCTTCCTGATGATCTGGTCCTACTAAGCACCCACATGGTGGCTTACAACAATCTCTAAATCTAGCCCCAGGGGACCTGAACCCCTCTCTACCTCCAAGAGCACTATACACACACACACACACACACACACACACACACACACACACACACACACGGTGCAAAGATGTTTATGCAGGCAAAATACCCATACACAAAATAATTCAAGAAAAATGACTCATGGGCAAGTGAAAACATTCTGTGAGCAAAACTCAGAGCCAAGATGCTGAGCATTTTCAAGTCAGAACAAGGTGGATCACAACACACACACACACACACACACACACACACAGAGAGAGAGAGAAAGAGAGAGAGAGAGAGAGAGTTAGTTTCTCTAAAGACCTTAATGACAGGTCTGATTACCACTTTTTTGGGAATGATTTGGGAACAGTGATACTTCAGAAAAACAAACATGGAAAGTCTGATTAAAGGGACAATAGAAATGCAGTGGACTCACTATTTTATGGCAGGTGAGATAGCTTGGCAGGTGTTTGTTTTCAAGCCTGAAAACCCAAGTTTAATCCCTGGGGCCCACATAATACAAGAAGATTAACTCCTGTGGGTTGCTCTCTGACCTTTACACACACATGTGCATGCCCCACCCTCATACACACACACACACACACACACACACACACACACACACACACACAAACTAAGTTTAATATAATTTTGAGTAACTAAAATTAAATGTGTATACTGAGTAAGGACTGACTTTAAAGATTATTTGCAATACTGGAAATTGAACTCGGGACCTCATATATGCTGGAAAAGCTTCTCTAGCAGAGAGTCAGACCCTCGGCCCTGAGACATTTTTTTTTTCTTGTCATTATTGCCTAAGCACTCCAGCAAAGCAGTCATTTCCATAGCATTCACATTATGTCAGGGGTTATGAGCCATCAGAACGAGTTAACAGTTTAGAGTGGAGGTGTGTGTGATTCTCTGTGATTGCTATCTGTGGTGGTTTGAATAAGTATGGCCCTCATGGACTCATGTGTTTGAATGCCTGGCCCATTGGGATTGGCACTGTCAGGAGGTGTAACTTTGTTGGAGCAGGTGTGTCACTGTGGGGGTGGGCTTTGAGGTCTCCTATGCTCAAGCTATGCCTGGTATGGCACATGGTCTCTGCCTTTGGATCAAGATGCAGAACTGTCGTCTCCTCCAGCAGAAATAAAAGTGGAAAGCAAGAAAATAAACAGTCAGGATTTAGAGAAACACAGTGAGAGGAGCTGGGGCCTCCCAGAATATTTGACATGACAGGGAGTCTTCCAGAAGGGGGCTGTGGGGCGTAGGGGGCGTAGGGGGTGTAGGGGGCATAGGGGGCGTAATCATCAGGAGGCGTGATGATTACCACCAGAGGGCATCTCCAAGGACAAGGACAGCCTCAGCTACATAGCTCACAGGGTAAAGCAAAATGAACAGCTGGGCCCCTGCTAAAAGACAGTTAAGAATTCTGGCTTTCAGGGTTGGAGAGGCGGCTCGGCAGTTAAGAGTAAGCACTGTTCTCCCGGAGAGCTTGAGTTCGGTTCCCAGCACCACACTGGGAAGCTTCCGATGACTGTTACTCCAGCTCCAGTGCCCTCTTCTGGCCTCTGTGGGCACCCCCACTCGCTGTGCACACACAGCCCCATCTACACATGACTGAAAGTATAATAACTTGGGGCTGAAGAAGAGATGGCTGCTCTTCCAAAGGACCTGGGTTCAATTCCAAGCACCCACATGGCAGTCCACAACTGTCTGTAACTCCAGTTGCAGGGTAGTAGATATCCTCACCCAGACATACATGTAGACACCAATGCACATAATTTTTTTTAAAGTACAATAACTCTTTAAAAATTCTAAGTCAGGTTGGGCGTGGAGGCACATGCCTATTTTCATAGTAGTCAGAAGACTGAGGCAAAAGAATTCCATGAGAATAAAGACAGTACTGGGCTAGTAAGAACTTTTTTCTCACACAAAAAGCTGAGTGTGGTGACACAGGCCCCTGATCCCAACACTAAGGAGGAAGGAGGATCTCTGTGAGTTAAAGACCGTTCTGGTCTACAGAGCAAGCTTCAAGCTAGCCAAGCCTACACATTGTCACCCTGAGGACAGGTCAATATGGTGACTAGACTTTTTATTTTTTAAGTTATTTACTTTATTTTATATGCTTTGGTTTTTTTGTTTTCTTTTCCTGCATGCATGTCTATGTGAGAGTGGCAGATCTTGGAGTTACAAACAGGTGTGAGCTTCCTTCCATGTGGGTGCTGGGATTTTCCTCTGGAAGAGCAATCAGTGCCCATAACTGCTCAGCCTTCTCTCCAGTCCCCAAGTTTTTATTTTTATTTTTTAAAGATTATTTAATTATGTGCTTGTGTGTATGTGTGTGTGTTTAAGTGAGCATGTACATGCAGGTGCCCAAGTAGGCAGTTATGAGGCCTCACACCTAGACATCTAACAAGCTGTTAAAAGGCCTCTTTGGAAGCCGGGTTCTATTTTGGCCACTTTTAAATCCAGAAGAAAAAGTCCCAAGAGATGTTTTAGCCCTATCACCTGGGTCCTGGCCATTTTCTGGCTCATGTGTCTGAAATCCTAGGGGCTCACTCAAATCAGACACAGGGTCCAGAAGGACACCAATAATCTTATCTGTCTCCTCAGCCCCTGCTCTCAGCTAAACCCACCTTTCCCTACAACAATGTGGCCTACCGGAAGCTGCCTCCAGGCTCCCATTCCTGGACCAATTCTAGGAGGGCTCTGGCCTCCACTTCCTCTGATAGGTCTTTTACAAAAAGGGACTTGATCTCTACTTTGAGCAAACTAGAGGCTGTTAAAAAAACAAACAAGCAAACAAAAAGCCCTTTTGTTAGTCTGGTTCATTTGTTGTCTGGGAGGATTACTGCCTCTCTCTGCTAACATAAGCCTAATCCTGGAAACTCCTAGCCTCTGTACAATCTAACCTAGGCCTAGAATGTTTTCAGCCTCTGAGACTTATTGCTGAATAAGCTCGCCCTTTCTTGTTCTATCTGAGCTCTGGGCTGGCTGGTTCAACTCAGCTGTTCTGGCTGAGGCTCCTCTTCCAGCTGACTTATTCAATCTGGCTTTTCTCTTGGCCTCTGGATTACCCTGCTTGGCCTCTGAATTGCAATCTTTCCTAATATCCTGGCTTCTTCTCATTCTCTGGCTCATTCACTTTTCACCTGAGTTCTCTCTGTCTGCAACCTGTCTCTCTATCACTGTGCTGGCAAAATAGCCTCCTCTCAGTCTCTGTGTGGATCCTTAAGTAGCTTCCCTTTACTGCTCTCTTCTCTCTTCTGAGAGTTGGGCTTATCTTATTCTGTCAAGTCTTTCTCTGATTTGTCACTGTTTCTGCCACTCAATTAGACATCACCTTCAAACATGGGTGCTTCCTTCTACAAACTAACTTTGCCTTCAGTGTTTGGGCATGTACCGCCATGCCTAGATCTAAGCTTTTCTTTACCTGAAACTTGCTCTACACCAGGCTGGCCTTGAACTCAAATCTGTTTGCCTCTGTCTCCCGGCTTAAAGCGTATTTGTATTCCAGCCGGATCACACAGACCTAGAAGGTCTTTGGATGTGATATCTTGCCGGAACAGCCATGTTCTGAATTAAAATTCCTCTATGAGAGGCTGCTTGGACATACCACAGACAAGCTTTCCTGTTCCCAGTGTGGTGTAAAGCAGGTTCTGTGGTTGCTCCTGCCCTAGTAGACCTGTAGGACAGCAAGACTGCTTTATGCTGTTGGCATGAATGCCCATCTCCCCCACCTCACAAGTTCAAGTTCATCACAGCCATGCACTTTAACCTGCTACACACAGTTCTGTGTCTCACTGATGTTCTGCTGGGCCTTCCTGGGGCTGTTAGGTCGTCCCAGACTAGAACCTGACAGTCACTGAGCATTGCACCATGGGGCACAGGCCAAGTTGAGTGCATCAGGGCTAAACCTTGGCCTCCCTGAAAGAACTCCCACCTTCAAAGGTGATTGCCTTCTAAATATCATAAAACATGGGGCTGGAGAGATGGTTCCGAGGTTAAGAACACGTGTCACTCTTCAAGAAGACAGGTTCAGTTCCCAGTACCCACACAGGTTCACAACCATCTGTAACTGCAGTTCCAGGAGATCCAATGACTTCCACAGGCTTCTGCATACATGTGTTTCACAGACATACACTCAGGCACACTACACACACACACACACACACACACACACACACGCACACACACACACAAATGGACACATACACATGCACACACAAAATAAAAATTTTAAATCTTGCAAAAGGCATAGCCTCTTGATGCCACTGCAGCAAGACCAGAATCCTACAGAGATACTAGGACAATGAAGCTGGTGGCAGGCGCTCTGCCACCTGGACATTTCCCAGGCTGGGCACAGATGGAAGAGGAAAGATAGGGTCTCACACTAGAGCAGCGCGTTCTGGGAAGCTGGCCAGGAGGCTGGGCAGGAAGGGAAGGCCTGGCCTCTGAAATGACTCGAGACCTGGAGGTAGGAGGTGATTCTAGCCAAATGTGGGGTCAAAAGCAGCAGGATGTTGTATCTAAAACTGGTTCCTGCATAGATATTTGTGGTTGAAGCAGGCAGTTAGTTGCCATAAGCCATTAACGTGTGTATGTGTGTGTGTGTGTGTGAGATCTGTGAGATACACACACACACACACACACACACACACACACATGTTTGTATGGTACCCGAAGGTGTAAGTGGACAAAGGTTGATGTAGGTTGTCTTCCTCAGTCAGTCTCTACCTTACCTTACTTTTTGAGATAAGTTCTCTCACTGATCCTGGAGCTCACTGATGCAGCTAAGTCCGCTGTCCAGCAAGCTCCAGTGATCCTCTTGTCTCTCTCTCCACAGTGCTGGGACTTTTTCTGTATGTGCTGGGGATTTGAACTCAGGTCCTAATGCACTGTACTCTCTGAGACATCTGCCTCCCCAATCCCCATTCTGTATTTCTCATATAGTAGTCCCTAGCCCTGGACTACTACTCTACCATTCATTTCCTCAACTCTGACAGAGGACGGTGGGCCCCTCTGAAGAACCTTGTGGTGAAGAAAACGGAGGCAGCTCAGCAGGGAAGCAAATCAATATCCAAGCAGAGTGTTGGAGTATCAGTAGAGTCGACTCTTACGTTTGCTCTAAGTCTCGAAGTTTGAGAGAGAAATGAAAGGTCTCAAGTGGAAATTCTGATTTATCTCATTTGGGGTTATCATTACAGACATGTAAATTTTACCAAGTGATCCAGAAAGCCTCTAATTCAGGGGTTCTCAATCTGTGGGTTGTGACCCCTTGGGCTGTATATTGGATACCCTGCATATAAGGTATTTACATTACAATTCGCAGCAGTAGAAGATTGCAGTTATGAAGGAGCAATGAAATAATTTTGTGGTTGGGGGGGGTCACCACAACATGAGGAACTATATTAAAGGGGAAGAGCATTAGAAAAATTGAGGACCACTGCTCTAATTGGAAAGGGGTTCTGGGACCACCTGGTGTGGCATTTGCTGGAACCTTCTAAAATGCCTCAGCTCATTTCACTGAAGAATTCACCGAAGAATTAAAAGACCCAGTAAAAAGAAAGGTCGGGCTTGCTCATTAAAGTATGCAGCTTGTAAAATCTTTCATTTTTCTGTGGTTAAAAATTCTAGCTTGTAATTCCCAGTGAGGAAGCCTCCAAGCTACTCATTACCATAAATTAAACCTGTCGTACCAGGCACACGGGAAAAAGGCAAGAGTCCTCATGTGCCAAGCAAGGGCTGGTCCCTTTGTAAAAATGGCTCTTGACACCCTTCTATAGTGCACAGAGGCTTATCCAGCTGTGAGACTATAGTGGGTCATGGGCTAGGCAAGCGTTACAGGAGTTGCAGACACAGGGCAGAGCTGAGATATACCGGTTACTTCCTGTCAAGCCTCCCCAAGACCTGAGCCATCATGCTGAAGGAAAAGCAAGAAGGTGACAAAGAGGCCAGATACAGCTTTGGCAGAAAGAATGACAGCGTTTTGAGTGGGGAAGGATGGGCTTCATTTCTGGCCTTAAAATAGGGATTAAAACACACTTAAGGAACACCCCGATACTAGGTAAGGTATTAACTAGATTATTTTTGTCCTATCAATTACACAGTCTTTATAATGCCACAGTTGCTAGGAGCTGAGGCAAGCCCAGGCGAGAAGGCAGCTGTTGGTGTGAAAGTACATCTTAGAGCCTCAGAATGACCTCATGTATTTCCATGGCCATCCCTTGGACTTTGGGATAAATTCTATTTCCTACACTGGACAATGCCGGGGACTCCAGCTGACATCTCACCAAGAGATACTTTAAGGTACCAAGGACAGAAGAAGCACCTACCGGGTTGTTGCTAGTCTTTCCTGCGAGTATGACCCGGGCCTTGACCTTGTTCATGTTGAAATTCTTCAGGTAGGCCTCGTGGATTCTCTTGGCCAGAGATTTGAGGTCCGCAGTTTCCGAATTTTCCAGATCGTGCTCACAGGTAAGGATTTCTGCTTTCAGTTTTGCTTTCTCGGATCTTGGCATTCTTCCAAAACGAATTGCTGGAGTTGGGGAGATGTAAAATGATCAAGGCACTTGATGCCCAAGGCAGAGGCGACAGGTAGAATAGAAAGTTCACACAAGGAATGGAAGGCTAAACCCATTCCTCATTATGACTGAACTTCCTACCAAAGAGATTGAAAACAAAACCAAGCACATGGCTTATCGGGGGGATGGCTTGTTCTCAGGTAGGCCATCAGCCAAGCTGAGGGGAATAAAAGTAAGCTATCTATCTATCTATCTATCTATCTATCTATCTATCTATCTATCTATCTATC